AAAATCTCAGAGCTCTCAAATGCTCTTCTAGAAGTATTTCCGTCATTGCTGTTACCAAAACCTACCTTAGGTTGATCGACAATGAGACTCAACTTTTCTCTGAACATTGATTGAACAAATTGTTTCTTTAACTTTACAGAAAGCTTTTTCTTCATAGTTCTGGCTTGAAATGTCTGGTTTTCCATTTTATAACCTAAATGCAATATGAACTCGAATGATCTTATCCAACAATGCAAATTTGAAATACCAAGTTTAAGGGCTTTCTTATTTTCAGGTTTTATTTTCACTAAATCTATATTATTCATCTCTTTAGGTTTAGAGCAGCACACATTACAAGACTGGGATGATTTTGTATTAGTCAATGATTTAATTACTTTTTTCCGTCAAACATTGTCATATCTATTATAAAAGTAACCTTCATAGTGATCACTGAAACAGCAAAATTTATATCTACTGAGAAAGATTTTAATTCATTAATTTGAGATTGAAGGTCGCGTGCCTCTTCTTTACACAATTGTGAAGTCTCTTTTTTATACTGCAGGTGAATAGGTCTACAAAAGTGGTAGCTAGAACATTTTGAATTTTTCCAAAAGCCAATACCTTCAAATTTAAGCAGAAGAGGTTCAATTAGATGTATGGTGTTCATTAGATAGATCTGCAATCTTTGCTCGCTTACTTCTTTGACGAAGATCTTCCCAATCTTTAACTGATCTTCCTTACCTTGAATGATAAGACACAATATCGTAATCAAAGAGATTTTCCTCGAACCAATTTGCTTCAAACTTTAAAAATCTCTCGTAGTTTCTGCGGTATTTTTTAAAATTAATTTTCACTTTAGAAATAAAAATCTTTAATAACCTATTTAGTTTATCTAATTTATCTTCAGGAATTAATTCAAAAGTTTTAATAAATTCAATAAGGATTTCATTAAGTCTTTTATTATTTAATTTAAATTCACGTATTTTTAAAACAGATCCAATTTTTTCATGTCTAAACACAAGCTAAAACTTTTTGTAACAATATATAAGCCAGATTAAGACATAAAACGACTATTAATCTTCGAAAAAAGTGTAAACATTCTAGTGAGTATTTTTACAAGCACGTCCGAAAACTGTCTTTTTTTTAAAAAAAAGAGGGGCGGACGTTGGAGTTAACAAAACTATGCCTTACTCAGTTTGAAATATCTCTTTAAAGAGCAAGAAAGAGCAAAAAGTGCTATATAATTATTTAAAATATAGATTAATAGTTCATTTAAATTAAACGTGGAACAACGTGGAACAACGTGGAACAACGTGGAACAACGTGGAACTTTTAATTGGCTAGTACTTATTTTACAGTTGTGCATTTAAAATAACATTTTAAAATAAAAAATAGTTTTTAAAATTAAAATTAAATCAAAATACCTTTTTATTTAGAAAGGACAAAGTAGTTTAACATAACATTTATTAGAGATTCAAATATACACTTGAAATAAATTTAAAATAACGGTAAAAATACGTTACATTTTCAAAATTTTATGGTCATAATTAACTTTTTTTCCACCTATCTTATGTTAAAATTACATTTTGATATTTTTTGTGGAATTTTTTTTTAATTGTTTTTGTACCAAAAAGGAGTTTACTTTAACATTTTAAATCTAAAAATGATGAAATTTGAAAAAAATTTGTGTGACTTTTTGCCGTTTTTTACTTAATCCGCCTCACTGTGCATCGTCGCAATGTTGCTTCTTTTTCTTTAAATATTATAACACTTTGTAACAAACTTTCTCTTTTGTTCTGTTCCTGGTGTGTTTTCCTAACCCATAAGGTCTACAACAGAAAGAAAATTGCTCTTAATCCACAAAAACTTTGCTTCTTTGATTATTGTAATCTTTATTTATCTCTTATGAAATTTAGGTATCAACATACTGATCTAGGCGGAGGTTTACTTAATTCACTTGTGATTACAACAGTGATTTATTTTAGCCGTTTTTAATTGAAATTAATTGAAACTACCCCTTCCCTAACCCCGTGAATCAAGCACACCTGCCAAATGTTCATTCTAGTTAAGAACTACTTAATGCAGCTGAAAAGTAGTAGAAAGTAGGTATATCCAATTATTTCTACATTTAATTTTGCGGAACAAATGATTTTGCATTACATGAGAAATAAAGTAACAAAAGAAATGCCCAACAATGAGTATAGAATTGATACAGCTGCTGAAAATGCAAGTTACACATCATAACAAAGAGAGAATGGATTATTCAAATTGTCTGTTGAAGCACTGCGATAAGACATTGTAAAAGCTCCCAAAAATGCTTTAAGATTCTCGGTCAACGCTGTTGAAACAACAGATATCTCAAAAATTGAACTGTTATTACTGGGAATGCTGTTTGTTAGTAAATCTAGTCACTAGATGTTCTCAATAGATTCAAGTTACAAGATTATGATTTGTGAGAAATTATTTACATTTTCATTGCTGAAAGATATCTGGTTGTATCATTCAAAGTTGCAAAACATTAGATCTTCCCTTTATTAATCTACTAGGCCAAGGTATTGAAAGGTGCTCTTTAATGGCTAGAAATAAAAAAAGTGTTCAGGCAAATTTGAGGTTTTTACTTTTTTTGAATTTGAAGAATTTACTCTGAGGCCGCCTTCGTTCATTGTGCCTTATTTTGACTCAACATGGTTATAAATAATCTAAAAGATGCTGCAGTGATCCGAAGTTATATTGGCACTACTAAAGCAGTTATTGTACAGAATATCTCCTTTTTTCGTAAAAACCAAAAAAGGAGATCTTCTGTCCCAGATTCATATTCTAAGTGAAACAAACATGTATAAAATTATTAGAATTTTTTATAGTAATAAAAAGATATTTATTTTTAATTAAAAGAATTTTGATTGCATGCAAACAGAAACACTTGACAAATTGCACACCAGCTATATTGTTCATCAAATATAGCACGATTATATTTTGTCTCCATATTACTTCGCAGTAATCAGCCATAGTTTAAACAGTTACCCAGGTACATCAAGCTGTTCAAGTTGAACATCCAAAGGCCAACTGCAAATTCAAAAATTACTCAGAGTAGAAAAACTTCATAAATGTCAATGTTTATAAATATAGGTAAAAAATAGAGAGAAAAAAAATTATTGTTTAACGGCTGTCATAATAAAAAAGATTTCTTATGTAGAATTGCATTACAATTGTCTTTTTAGTTTTCTATTTTTTGTAACAATATTTACTCCGATATTTTACATAATAAAATAAAGGTCAATGTTTCTACAACATCATAAAGGTGAGTTCTACAACATCATAAAGGTGAGTTCTACAACATCATAAAGGTGAGTTCTACAACATCATAAAGGTGAGTTCTACAACATCATAAAGGTGAGTTCTACAACATCATAAAGGTGAGTTCTGCAACTATTTCTGTAATACTTTTGAGAAAACACTACAAACCGTACAGAAGATGAGTATTTAACTGGTAATTCCAAAGCATCATGGAAGGAAAAAACATCAAAGTAATTCGGGAATTATATGTGCTAAATAGCTCTTCAGACAAATAATTTTATTTACATTCTATACTTAGACTCTCTGACTCATCGGAGAGTCATTTTGTAAAGCCAACAGTGCACAAATTTAATATTTTAAACTACTTAATATATTCAATTTTAGGAAATTAAACTAAATAATTTTACTAAAAAGCACTGCGTTATTTTAGCATGCAAATATTACGCGAAAACGGTATGTTTTAAAGTCAAAAACATCAAAACTACGAGCTACAGATTCTTTTATGTATATTATTTTAACAAAACGAAAAATTTAATAGCGTTTTAATTAGATAAGAGCCCTAATTATTGCGTAAAATTTACGCTAATTATACTGCTTTCTGTTATCACCATATAAACTAAGTTTAAAAAATGTAAAGCAACTTGAACTTCACTTGACACCTTAAAAATCTATTGGCATGCTCATATTACCTAGATTCTGATATTACCTGAATTCGCCCTACGTAAATAATCTTTTTCAAATAATATTAATTCATATTATATAACAAGTTATTAAAATTTATTATAATAATAATTTATTAAAATACGAACTATAAAAAAATTGTAAAATGATTCATGGTTTTGGTACGACACCTTAAATCAATACACTAAATTTATATTTGTCATTGTTTGAGCAGCCGTGGCGTAGTGGTAGCGCACTTGCCTCAGAAACAAAGGATACGTGGTTCAAACCCCACTTCTAGGCAAGTTTTACGAGATCGGTAAGAAAGGAGGCGTGACCTTTCTAATAAATGCTCATCCGTGGTGCTCTGTGATAAGTCCGTATGGACTTCTTGGGACACCTAAGTAAAATTAAAAAAAAATTATACCCAAAGGTCTCGATAGCCTGTTTTATTTTTAACAAGATATGTGTTATATGCTAATTAATATGACATCTTGCGAAGTTTCGCAAGAAAGTTTTTTTCGAAATTAAAATTTTTGAGAATTTTTTAATTGTTTAAAAAACAACATATATTGACTTTCTATAATTTTATACTAAATAAAAATTATTTTATCGCTACACATATTTTGCTGTTCTTTGTATATATTTATCTTTTATGTTTTATTTTGTTTGATCTTACACAGAATCCCAAGATTTTGCGATTATAAGAAATGCTGGGATCCCGGAATTGCAATCACTACCTTTTTTGCATGAATTATTTTGATATATTATTTTTTATGTCTGTTATTAATAACTATATATTGAATAAATTATATATTGTTCTAAGTTTAAGTTCTCCAGAATTATGCAATTCTAAAAACATTTTGTGCTTATTATTTCATATGTATATATATATATATATATATATATATAAATATATATATATATATATATATATATATATATATATATATATATATATATATATATATATATATATATATATATATATATATATATATATATATATATATATATATATATATATATATATATACCTATAAAGCCGTAATAATAATGCAAAAAACTGCTTTATTAAACATTAAAAGTTTTATAAGAAATTTTATTGACAGTTTTGGCTAAATTAATTCAAATATTCCAAATATTTAACGTTCTGTCACATATTCCAAATATCATTTCACATATTTGTATGCTTAAGTAATTGTGCATAACTCTGAATACTAAATCAAGTATATTTTTGGTGGAATAACTTTTTTTTACAAGTTCCACCTGAGTAAAACATTTTCGACATGCTGTAGTAACATGTTGCATATATTAGGAGCTAACGAAAGTTACGATCATGCAACGAATTATAACCTGGAAACTGTTCTCTTTGATTAGCATTGTTATAAATAGGATGTTGTTCTCTTGCATCAACTTCATAAACTTTTCTGCAACAAAGACATAAGCATAAAATTGATGATGTGAAAACGCCTACAATAATGATAGCAAAAAGCCACTCTCCTCTTAACACGCATTGTTTGTACATGGGTAACATTGAAAAGCATTCTAATTCAAATTCAACACTGCCATGACCGTCTAAATACGTTTGGTAGCGCGTTGATTCTAAAGTATATAAGTTACCTAACCAGCAAAATCCGAGCGACCCATCTAAAGAAGATTTAACTCCATTAATCCATAAATATATGCTGCCTTTGGGACACCATGCACCGTTTTGTGATATGCACATGTCACAAGTTCGATGGCAACTAATACGAGGCATAAAATGCGCTGTACAATAGTCTTGCAACGTGCCAGAAGCCGTAGTATTAATATTGACAGGGTTTCCGCAAACCGCACCGCTTTCAATATCAGTTAAGTTACTTGGAGCAAATCCTACACGATGATTTGCACGATCAAAAATAGCAACATTTCCTTCAAGAGTCACCTCTCCTAAAACAGCTCCAAATTGCTTTGCACCAATGCTCAAGCAATAAAATTGGTCTTGTTTCCGAACATAATGTTTTCCAAGTACAGTTAATGCAAAGGAACCTCCTCGCATGTCTTTTAAGTAAATAGTTATATAAGGCCATTTAAAAGGATCTGTAATAACACAATAATTGTTCCAAAACCGCTGATCAACAAGCGGTCCTCTTTTTTTAAGCATGGCAATCACTGCTATATAAATTTCAGGCTCCAATAGTATATCAGTAGTTCCACTATCGACAATGGCCGGAGGATAACTGTACGGAGAAAGACCTAAACTTTCTCCAGCCACATCAATTCCAGTCATGCGTACTGTATACCATGCCCTATGAATAACTCTAGTCCAATATATCGGATGATGATATTCATTTGGCTTAGGATAGTCTAACCAAAAACGGCCGTTACCATTGCATAAAGATAATGAAAATACGTCAGGAGCTTTCTTTTCAAACACTAGCTGATCGAATAGCGGTTCTATTTGACTCGATGATAAAGATTTATATGCTAAACCTAGTATTCCTTCATTTACTGAGTTTTTAATAAAAAATTCTTTTTCGTTTTTAATTACAGCGAATTCGGCAACAATGCTTGGGCCGCCAGGAAAACTTACAACATCTCTATAAACATCTCCTGACCAAGAACCTTTTCCGTATTCAGTTTCAACAGGATGGCCGATTCTTTGAGAAGTTGACGATTTGTCAGGAAAGTAAAAGTTTTCAATTTTGCAACGTACTCCGTGTTCATCTCGACATTCGGGACCTGCGATTGCCATGTTAGCTGAACCAGTATCAATTAAAAACTCAAGTTTTTGTGCAGGTGTTCCTAATTCCATTTCCATTATATAAGCGTACGACGTACTTCTTAACGAATAACTGTGATCATTCTCGTTAATCTGATCCCTATTTTTTGTTTCACGTGGAGTGGTTGAAATGTTTTTTCCTTTTAAATGATGATTATTGTGAACGTGTTGTTTAGTTTTTCGTTTCAAATGGTATGAACGCCCACCAAGTTCGTCGTAAACTCTTCCCAAATCACCAGAGATACTACTGAGACATAAAAGATGAAAAACCATGTTTAACAATAAAATATGCTGCCTCAGAAGCAAACTTATTTTCATCTCTAAAATCTCTTTTAAAATATAAATGCATTGCTTTAGAGGATTTGAAAATGGGATATATTCTTCGCGAACGAGTGTAACGCAGCAAACATATTTTTTTAAACTCTAGCTGAAACGCTGCAAATGAGTACAACGCGGTTTTTTAAGTTTTCAATCTACTGTCGTAGTATATTTAAAAAGTTTAGCGCTATATATACAACTTCTTTGAATCAGTTATCAGCTGTGCATATAATAGATACAGCGGCATACGAAAGACTGTCAAAATAATAAAAAAACCAAACATTAAAGAAAAAGATTTTAATTGATGTCTGTTGCTAAGAAATGAATATAGACGTTTTAAAAACGCTTTTAATATGTTTTATATTTGAGGCATTGCCAAAAGTGTAAACAAAATTAGATGGATTTTATTTATGTTATATTATTGTAAAAATATTATTTTAGTATAAATACACAAAATATTATAAAATGTTTATTATATCTTTTCTAAAATATTTACTTTAACATTTTTGATTTGTTTTAAAACAAATAGTTAAGTATAAGTTCATACAAATATTATTATTTAAAAATAAATAAAATAAGCGAAAATAAAAATAATCACTACTAGCAAAAATGATAACATTATATTAATTTTCTAAACTTTTTTTTACCGAAATATCAAAATAAAATAAAAATCTTTAGAAATCTTTAGAAAAAAACGTTCAGAACTTATGTTCATGTAAGACTTCGATTGAAATTTTTTGCCATAACTTCTACGCACGAACCTATTATTATAAAATTTAAAACCGGTTGATGATTTCTATTTATTTATTAGATTACAATGATTTTTGAAATTCCTAAAAATTCACAAGTTAATGGAGGATTAAATTTTTATTAAAAAATGATATACATTTTTATGTTTTTAACGTAAGTTCGATATTAATAGTATTTAAATAGATAATGATAACAGTACTTAAGTGGCAACTGTAGAAAATTATTTCAGTACATCAAAAAGTATTGAAACATTTAAAATCAATGATGACTCAAGATCGCTTGGTCTGTGTACTGTTGTTGTTAATAAAGAATTCCAGTTTTCAACTAGGGTAACGAGGGGCAAAATGAGATACTTAAGCGCTAATACATCTAATACGGCCCGTCTAACAACTTTTGAAAAAATAAATTGATATTTTTCAATTCTTCTACGATCCTACTTAAATGAGTTGCAAAACTGCAGTAGTTTGGTCACCAGAGATCATTTATTGACAGCACCTATCCTGTCTCATTTTGCCCCGCATACCGGGGCAAAATGAGACAGATTTTTTTTTTTAGTAATTTAAATAAATAAAGTTAAAAAAAACATATCTTTAAGAGGATTAGCAAGAAATACATTTTATAATATATTACAGCTATAATCAAACTGTCACTAGTCACATAAATCACATATTGCTTAACCAGTATTTTGAAACAAACAACAGTCCGAATGAGCCCAGGTTGTGCATTTTGGAAATTGACTCCACTTATATATATATATATATATATATATATATATATATATATATATATATATATATATATATATATATATATATATATATATATATATATATATATATATATATATATATATATATATATATATATATATATATATATATATATACATATATATATATATATATATATATATATATATATATATATATATATATATATATATATATATACATTTTATTTATATTTTGTTTATAGGTACTGCAATAACCTATGTTATAATCTACTCACAATATATAATATATACTACTTACTTTATTACATTACAATACAATAAGATTATAAAATAGAAACATAGTAATTATAAACATCAGGCAATTATTTGCTTCAATTTGATTAAATATTTATTATATTTAAATATAAGTTAACAAAATATAAAACGTAATTCTATATTGGATAACAACTAAACATTTCAGTTAACAAAATAAAAAGTAAGTAAATACAGTATAATAAATTTAAATCTACAGCATGTAAATATTATTATTTGCTTTGGTTGTTGTTTTAATGAAAAAAATTAAATAAACATAATATAAGATATCGGCAAAAAAAAAAATACAAACAGAATGTCTCGTTTTGCCCCGCATCATGTTGGCATCGAATAGCCTAATTTCCAGACTATTTTATTGAAGAAATAAAATACCAAAGAATGGTAATGAAAGGAAAAGGCCTAAAGATTCTAATTAAAAAAAAACTTTAAATATAAAAAGCTTTTCCACGCAGTGAGATGAAAAAAGGCTAGGAAAAAATATAAAAACAACTCTTAAAAGTTTGTAATTTTCGCGAAGCCGAGGGATGAAATGACTCCCCTTTTACTCAACTTTTTTATTTCAAAGTGACTCAATATATTTTTTTTGACACAAAATAGTTTTTGAACACAACTGCACTTTTAAAAATCTTGCAAATAATAATTTGTAGGGCTGGCATTATGTTAAACGCGAACTGTCTCGTATTGCCCCGCTGTCTCATTTTGCCCCGCATTACCCTACTTGATTCGTGTCTTTCATTGTGTTTCAAAATACTTTCAGCGCCAGAAATTCATAAGAGTTGTTCTTTGTTCTTAGACTATATGTTACTTATCCTGGATAATCTGGCCTAATTTGTAGCGTCACAAAATAAATTGAATCAATTCAATAAGTTATATTGTATTGCTGTATAAGGTTACTATGCTTGCGGTGGGTTTCAGTCAAATTAAGCCGTGTTCCTTATATTTCACGTGATATAATATGTGTTCCTTGTTCCGTGTTCCTTATATTTCAGGTGACATAATATACTTTATGGGTTGATGCTGAATCCTTTCAATAGTATTTATAACTCTTTTACAATGAAGAGACTAAACTGGACGGCAAATTCTAACAACTGTCGGATATAAGAAGTATACAGGAAACGCCTAGGAAATAAGCCACAACTTCTAAGTATTTTATGTTTCACTAGAATTCTATTTGCAGCTACAGCTGTGGGCTCAAGTTGTAACTACATTTTAAGATTATTGAATACTATAACCCTCAAATCAGATTCAAATTCTATTTGGTTTTGAGTTGTTTGCGATGACCAGTTTGAGATTCCATTTTATATTCATGATTTTTATTTTTAAACCATTGCGCATAACCTTGCATTTTAAAAATTTTAATCTCACAAGCTATTTTTTAGACTATTTAACAGCTGTATTAAGATATATTTAAAGACATATAGTGCATCAAAAACATATAGTGCACATTAGTGCATCTTTTTTTTACTTGATAACGCCTTTAAGCTAACTCTCGTCTGCATATATCTTTTTTTGGCTTAAAATTAAGTCAACTAAATTGTTAATGCAGAACACAATAAGGAGCAATACTATAACCTTGGAAGTACTCCGTTTAATGTTCTTCGTTGGGACAGTGTTTTATCAATTTTGAATTGTTGTTTCCTACTAGTCAACCAACTTTTATCCACTTTATCCATGCAATTGACTACGAATTTCATTAGTCTTAAATTTATATAAAATTCATTTGTGAGGTATCTTGCAAACGCTTTCAAAAAGTCTGTATAAATAACGTTTGCCAAGAAACTCTGATTGATAGCATCTGCAACAATATCACGTAGTTGTAGCAGTTCCTATTGTGTTCCTACAGTATTTGACAAAGATGTGCTGAGCTGGTGATATAAGTTTGTAACCTTCTAACACAGTGCAAGATACCGAGGCAAAAAACTGGCAGCTAGTTGCTTACCTTTACCTTTTTTTTTATAGGTGTTACATCTGTATTTCTCTATTGGTTTAAAACAAAGGAGGTTAAATGGAAAATTCAAATTGACTGCCTCTGAATTATGCTTAAAGGAAGCACTTAGTGCATCTTCATAGTCTAGTTTTGCATTTTTCACTATTTTTGTGACAGTTTTCGTTATTTTTTGTATTCTGTTCTAATAAGTTAGTATGGTCTTAGTCCTGCTGATACATGTATACTTTAGAATTTACTTTTTTTTTACACCTTCCATGACGCTATGAAGGCAAGAAAAACACCAATTTCATTAGATTTTTTCCTAATATATTTTCCAAAGGAAATAAGTTAAAGGCCTTGCATTAAAAATTTGCAAGTAGACCCTAATTTAATGTAACGATTCTGGTTTTCAACATTATGTTCCCAGTGGGCAACCAATATCAATCCAACGTCGGATTATTATTAGCGACGTGTTACGACGTCATTATAAAGTCAATTTAACAATGTTGTACATCGTTGTTTTATAAAGTCTTTCTATATTGGAACAACGTTATTTCAACGTCATTGAAAGGAGGTTGAAACAAAATTGATATAGTGATATTTAGTTGTATAATGCAAATTTTAGATGTTCATCAATACTAGCCGTAAAATAAGGTCTTGTTTAGTCTTTTCTACACCGACCATTTTTCACTTATTCCTTACTTCAAAATTTTTTAGTAAGCAGTAGAAAAACAATTTATATTTTCTACTTCTAACGGTTTGAATAAAATAATTATTATATAATTAACTTTTAGCGATTCGAATATTAATTCCCGAAGTGGAATTCTAAATAATCTTTAGAATATTTGCGTGAAATGTGAAAATAAATTGGAATCGGTATAAAAAGAGTCAAAAACATGTGAAAACTTAAAAATATGTTGAATAATGAACCTACTATGACCGCATAGTAAGGGTCATGGTAAGTCTTTTTCACACCGACCAATTCTATACTTATTTTCTGTCGTTTATTTCAAAAATTTTAGTAAGTTATAGAAAATAAAAATCTGTCAAATCTTTGTTTTAAGCAAACTAACTGTTCACAAAAAGTCCGGACTGATTTCAAATGTACACAAATGGTTCTAAATTTCGAATTTTCGATTCGAAATTTTTAAATTTAATCGGTCAACAACAACAGTTTCATTTGTGGAAAAATTGAGTTTAAATAATTAATTTAAATAAACATGGAGCATCTAAAAGAGAACGATGTTAGAAATGTGATTGGAAATTTTTATAAACAAAACATAAACAGTGGAAAGAAATTTACAGTGGATCATTTTAAGAAAATGGGAATCGCTAAATCTACAATTTATGACATAACTAAAAAGTCTGAAAATAATTTGCCAATGAAAAGAAAATTCAGTTGCGGCAAAAAACCTTTTAAAATCACACCAGAAAAGATAGAGTCCATGATTGCAAGAGCAGAAGAGAGAATCGAGATTTCGCATTATTTAGAGTATTAATTTAAACATGTTAAATATATGTCTTTTTTTTTATCATATTTATGTAAAAGCACTACTTATGTAACTTAAAAATAACTTCGAAGAAATTAAAATACAGTAGCGTTTGTTATCTAATTTCGTTATAAACTCAAAGTGAGTCTAGTCGCGTAATTTGTACTTTACTTAAAGACCATAGCTGTCATTTTGAATTTTGAATATTTGTAACTTTCGTCAAAAACAAAGATTGTCTGTTTTGTATTATTAATATAATGTGCAACAATATGCATCATTTTTTTACCAAAATTCTACCCACCACATTAGTAATTACACATTTCCAAGCGGCATTGTTTTTAAAAGTTCTAAATGTATTTTAAATGTCTTTTAAACGTCTTCTAAACTTTCTCACGTAAAGAACGTTTAAAAGACATTTAAAAATCGTTTAAAAGACATTTAGAACGTAACTTTTAAAAACAAATGCCCGTAGGATTAATATAAAAGTTATACCTTATTACTTATTTATTATTTATACTATTTCAGAAAAGATTTACAGTTTCATAGTTTATTAAATTCAAACCTTTTTTGCATTGCTTGGCACCAAAAAATGTCTTTACAAAAATCATTCAAAATGAACTTTAAATTAATAAAGTATTTGTAAAATCAAAATATAGGTACAGTATTGGATTATAATGATACGATTTAGGATCTTGTTTCCTTAATTGTACCGATAGCACGTTTTTTAAAATTTTATTCCCTCAAATGCCAACGTTTAAATTTTTGAATATTTCAACTTTTTAAGAACAGCTTCTCCCTGAATTATAAAATACAATAAAGTCTCATTGTTTCTTCTTTGTAATTTTTCTCTATTTTTGACTATATTCTTAGAGGGTACAATATCGGCTACTTACCCTATTTTATAATATATTATATAATATAATATTAAAAGTTGAAAGTATCATTAAAAAATCAAAAATAGCTAATATTAGCTATTTATAAACCTCCATCTCAGATAAATGATAATTTTTTCATTCACCTTAAAAAAGAGCTTGACTTTTATTCGCAATCCTTTCATGATTTTATTATAATAGGCGACTTTAATTTAGAACAGCATAAAAGTTCAATGAATGAATTCTTAGAACTTTACCGATGTAATAATTTAATGCAATCACCAACTTGAAACAAAGAAATCTTGTAGTTAAACTTAATCGGAAAATACAGCGAACTTATTTTGGATGCCTCAATTTGCACACCACAACTAATACTATTCTTTGAAGCTTATGTAAACCATTTCTTTCAAATAAGTCTGGTAATTCATTGAACGTATAACTTTTATGGAAAATGGTGAAGCGATTTTTGACAACAATTTAACTTCAAATATTTTTTTTACAATTTTTTTATAAACGAATCTTCCTCTATTAATAATGATGGCGAAATCTCTCAACATTAGATTAAAACGGCTGTTGAGAAACGAGTATCCATCAAACCATAAACATAAACCACAAAATTATAAAGAACAAATTTAAAATAATATTTCCGAGTTTTTTATTTCATAAAATTACACCGGACGATATTTCAAAAGTTATTGATTCAATGAAAATTAAGAAGAAAACTACCAACATATATGTCATACATTGTTTTTAGAAAAATGAACCAACGGATAAGTCAAACTAAAGACCAATAAGTATCCTTCCAGCTCTTTCAAAAGTATTTGAGCTTATTGTATTTGAGTAAATACTTATATTTTGTCTAATTTTTCATATTTCCTTTGATTTAAATTTTTTGCTCAAATTACTATGGCAACCTTATAATTAAAATTCATTTTCTAAATAATTTTCGCCCATTTCATTTTGTCTTTTTTTCATTTAATTCAATCGTATTTCAATTACGTTTTTTTCAATTATAAATATCTATCAACATATATGCTTGTTTATATGCTTATGGTGACACGTCAAATTTTTGAAAATCTTTTCAGTTTACATTATTAACATTTTTACATAAATAAAAATAGTTACTCAGATAAATTAAAAGAATGTAAATAGGTTACAAAAAAACGCTAACTTAATTTGTGACATATTAATATGACGTTATATAAATATTTATATTCGAGTTTAAAAACGAATCAAATTCAAAAAAAAAAAAAAAAAAAAAAAGATATTATTGCAAAGATATTATTGTAAAACTTTTGAAAATTTACAAAAAAATATAAATAACTTCAAAATAAATTGTTTTTTCAAAGTTATATTTAGAAGTTTGACTACGTGGTAAATTCAAATATTATTAAATCTCGCAAACTTCTACAGTATTGACAGCAATACTTTGTTTATTGATGAAGTCTTCTTCGTACGGCTTGATTTGCTCCCTTTTTCAGGATTGATGCCGAAAAATGCACTAGAACAGTCAATAATATATGTATAAGCAATTGACGTTTGAAAACATTCTCATCAACAAAATAAAAAATACCATTAAAATCAAATATAATATATAAGTTTTAGAAAAATTAAAGAAATTTAATTCAACATAACATAAACATAATATACCGTTGAAAAAATTCTAATATAGATGAAGCTTCTTTTGAATATGGTATATTAAAAATATAAAAACAACAACAAAATGACTTGATAAAATTGGCCATTCCATCAACCACAACAATGCAATCAACTACCAGCAAGAACTGATTTGCTGTAAATAGCAAATATCCTAAAAAAAGAATGTAAGTTGACCTAAAAAAAAAACAACTTAAGTATATATAAAGAAAAATGATAGAACTCATCCTTTTTTTTACAAAATATGTTTCAATTTTTTGATTTTCAAAAACTTAAAACATATACGAACTTGTAATTCAACATACCATAAACTTTTCATCATCTAATGCTTTTATCAAGAGTTCACCTGCATTCACTCCACACATCAAAACATCAAAGTGATGTAGCAAACCATCAACCTAAATATAAAAAATCAATTTAAATACGTAGATATACTAAAACTAGATAAAATAAACTTCTACACAAATCAAATTGAATACTAAAAAAATGAAATGTCTATTTATTTATCATTATATAGATTAACATATACTGATCAATAACATTGTATTTAAGTTATTGTATTTTTAAATAAAAAGAACTTACTTTACTGCAAATAAATTGGAGAATTTTATCAACAAATCATTTGACAAGATCTTTCCATTTATTTTAGTTTGTTGTAAATAGTAATGGAGTTCTTCAGGGTTGTTTGAAACACTGAGAACCGGTTTTCGGTTCAAGTAACCATAACTATCAGTTTTTTTTTATGACACCAACTAATATTTGGGATCCCTCTTAGGATTCCAAATTTAAACACCCAGTAACAGTGGCAAACGGTTTGGCTGCCACAGATAGTCATAATGTTTAACTAATTGTAACGTTAAACTATCATGACCCCTACCAATTACTGTGGGACCATATTCATCTATAAACAATTTAGAATATTTGGCAACCATAGAAGATGCAATTACATCTAAATGTTTTTTAATGACGTAAGGAAACAGCAAGAACATCATTCATAATAATGCTTATAGTTGCACAACAATGTGCTGTTGAAGGTCTTTCTCCAGCTACAAATAGATCTTGTGCCTCTTTAGACACATTAGTCCAAGGTACATTAAATCTCAAATACCAATCAGCAGCACTTACATGTTTAATCGTTATTGCTAGACAGAATTGAAACTATATTTAAAATTAGGCAATTAAATACTTAAAGAACACTTTAAATTAAACATTCTATTACTTACCATATTTTATTAACAACTTTTTTTAACAACTTACTCAATTTAGTTGAGTTATTTTTCACTTCAACTGTGTGCATTGTTTGCATGCTGGAATGTGTGGCAACAATAAAATTTACAGGATTTTGAGATAGTTCTCTAAAAAACGTTATTAACATTATACATGAAAGTATATAAATGTATATGATAATAAAAATGATACTTATTTTATATATATATCATAAATCTTTATTACTGGAGCTTTCCTTTGCCCGATATTCAAGGAATTTGTGCTGTTTGATGGGTTTTAGCAAAACCAAATCCTCAACTTTTACCATGCAGAGATCTGTTTGATTTTCAACACCTATTTCCAATAAATTTTTGACAACCTGGTTTAAAACACATTTATCAATATTTGGCAGTGTTTTTAAAATATTACTCTTAATAGCAAATATTATCTTAAAAAAAGAAATATATATGAATATCATGTGTACATAATCAATTAATCAATCAACCAATCAATCAATTTATTTCCACTTAATAACTGCATATATATATACAATAGTGAGGGACGTTTACAAACAGTTAAAAACGCGTTTTATATATTTAATAGGGATATGACTTTTTGAAAAAAAATTTCCCTGGCCCAAAAATGGATGAGTTTTTACGCATAAAATGCGAAAATATTAATACTTTCACGATGTTCAAAAAAAATGTCACGCCCCAAAGCACTTTAAGATTTAAAAAGGTTTTAAAAAAATTAATGACCAAAATCATTTCTATTTGCAAACATGTTCATTCATATGATTCTATAAAAAAACATAATTTATTCTAACAATTAATACATGGCATAGTGTTATATTCAATGCAGGAAAAAACATTTTATACAATTTAAATACATACAGTTATTGTTTATTAGACAAAATGAAACGAAGTGGAAGATTGTCTTTATTTCTGCACAATCTATAAAGCTCCTCCATTACTTTAATTGCTCTTTCAGCACATTGATTACTTCTGGGAATGTTGATTGCTGATGGTTCTGGATTCCAATGACTTGTAAATGTAACAAGAGGTTTCTTTTTGTTTAATAAAACTTCATGAAGGTCTGAATAAGTGTTTTCTTTATAGGTTTGGTCGTCAAACCAAAAGTCTGCCCACTTGTAAGAAATAAAGGTACATACAGATTCAAGTTTGTTTCTTGTTTTTTGGCATAAGAATGTAGACTAACAACGCTAAAATAGCTCTTGAACTCCTCTGAGCATTACTGATATTAGGGATTTTTTGAAATCTTACATTAGGAATTATTTTATTTTGGTCATAGTATCGGTAGGTTCTCGTCAGATGAAACAGAAACTTTATGTCATCTCGCCATCCTCCTGTGTCTTTTATTTCTTCTGTACCATTATAAAAATTTGTCTTCAGTGTTTCATAATGTTCTAACAACTCGTTAGTAAAAAAGTAATTAATGTTTGGTGAGTTCGGATTTTCTCTCAATTTTTCTTCCATTTCTAATCTAAGTATTCTATCCAAGATATGATGTTGACATGGTACAAATTGAGGTTTTTGTAATCCTTTTTTTTGAAAAATGTCCTGAAGTTTTACAACAACACCATTTTTCTTTCCGGTATTGACATTTGTAGTATCTGTCACAATCATTTTAATTGAATTCCATAGTTTAAATTCATCTATAATATCAGCTATGGCATTAATAATAGTGATAGATTTTCCATCTATTAACTTCAGTGCGCCCAACTTTATTTCGCTTCTTTCATTTTTAAGAACGACAACCTGATACTCCCATTGGTCTATATGCTTTCCATCGAAGTGTAGACTCCAATTCTCATTCTTTAAATCTTGAATTAAAGTTTCTTTAAATTGTTTTGCTTCATTAAAAAGAGCCTTGTATATTCCAGACTGTGATGGCGCTGGAACATGTATGCCTTCTGAGGACAGTATTTTACCTATTTTAAAAGCTTTCTTAGTTGATACCTTAGCTCAAACCACTAACTTTGTTGCTATTTTACAACTACTATATTTTTTAAGTCTTTTCTTCAAATTATTATATTCTTCATCTGTAATTTCATTATCTATCTCAAATTGTTCATCAGTTTTTTCAAATTCGGAACTAGAGTTGTCTCTTTCTATTTTACTACTTTCAGTAAATGAAGAAAAACTTTTAGATGCTGAAGGTTGGCTGGAAAGGTTTTGCACAATTGATGGATGAATAGTCTTCTTTCCTGCCAGCTTTGAAGTAGCATATTAAATTTCTCCTTTGCTTTGTAACTGAATTTCATAAAATCTTTTATGTTCAGATGATAACCAAATGCCATTTTGATTTGTTATATCAAAAATCTCTTTTTGCAGAAGGTCGGCATTCCATTTTTTTCTGAGACTTTCATATTTTTCTATAACATCATTAATCTTTCGCTTCACTGACTGCTTTGTCAGACATGGGAAATTTAATTGTTCTTTCCACAAACTTATAACTTCTTCTGAAATAAGATCTATCCTTTGCTTTTTGGCTTTCACATCAGTACTAGACAAATACTTAAACCTGCTAACAATATCACTTTTTAATGGCATTTTGGAATATTCTTGAAAAGATGTTTTTAACATTGGAAACTGTCTACTTTTATGCGAATCTTGAAATTTCACATGATTTTTTTTATAAGTCTCTTTATTTTTATCAACACTTGATTGGCAGTATTTGTATGCCATTTTAATTAAAAGCAGCACAAAAAAATCTGAAACTAATTAATAAACAATTAGGCACAGCAGTGAAAAACTAGAAATTATAAAGTGGTAATGCATACGTCTGGTATGTATTTAAAATTATATATATAATATATATTAACCGTCTATATATATTTTATTATATATAATATAATAATATAATATAATAAAATATATATAGAGGGTTATGACTTCTTTAACTTATGTTTTCTGCCCCATATGTAATATGTATAGTATATTATATTCCTATCTATATTGTATTAAAAAACATTTCAGCCGAGGGGCGTGACATTTTTTTACACTTGAAGGAAAATAAACATTTCTTCATTGTTTTATAGCAAAAACTCATCCAAAAATAATATGGGGTTGTCCAAATTGTATAAAAAGTTAAAAAAGTCATATCCCTAATATTCAATCTCATATCCTTATATTATAAATAAAGTGCGACAGGAAACTTCATTGAAAAAAATGATATTATTTTATTAATTGCAGGATCAATTATTAAAACATATACAAATATTTCAAATAGAAAATAAGAACTAAACATTAAAAAAAAAACACGGCAACCCATACTTGCATAAAATCTCTCCAAAATTTCACGGTAGAATACCGTAAAGTAGTTTAACCACGCCGTAAATTAGTGTTCACGGCCAAGGTACCGTAATATAACAGTAATCATAGTCATGAGAATAATTTAACAATAAGAATATATTTCTTATAAAAAATTAACAATAAGAATATATATTTCTTATGACTATGCGGTAATGTACCGTAAAACACATTAACGGTGCAATACCGTGTAATTCACGGTATAGGACCGTAAATTTCACAGTAAAGTTTTACAGTATACTGTATGCAATCAACTATAAATAAACTCCAACTTCAATCAACGTTGCTTTGCCCACTGAATTTAAGTAACGCAACAACGTTCATTAAAAATATTTTTGTGTCTTTGTAATTTTTAATTTAGTTTAATCAAGATACGACATACATTAGCATACACTATTACGCTTGTAAATAAGGATGAAAATTTCCCGGAAATTTTCAAATCGGAAAATTTTTGGGAAATTTTGGAAGTTTTGGAAATTTTTGAAAAAAGATAAGTTAATTAAAATTTATGGGTAAAATTTTATGTCACATTTAGGAAGTTGTTATGGACAACTAAAATGTTGTGAAGTAGATTATAAAAATTTTATAAACTTTGAAAAACAATTTTTTTGGTATTTTGTTGAGTTTTTTTATTCTAACTATAAGTAGCAACTATAATAATTTTTTTTCAAAATTTTCTAAAATTGTTTTATCCTGTTATTTACTGAGCATGTTGCAGTTTATTGCCGTAGAAAACTTTGTTTAAAGCTAAACATAATTTTCACCTCCATCCTTAATGCGAACTGCAAACCGCGAATTGCGAACTGGTAAAATGCAAGCTTTTTTGGAAACTATGGTCCTATTTGTTGTTAATAATGTAATATTTTATATTTTCCGTTAGCCGTTAAATTGTTTATTTTGTTATATACTTTATAAACTTCAGCAGAAACATAAATTATATTTAATTTAAAAGAAATACAACCTAATTTAAATAGAATATTTCAAGTTCTATTATATTCAAATTAAATG